CCGCCACAGGGGGGCCCGCTTCACCCCACGATTCCCTGACCCGCTCCGTCGGGACAGCCCTGCCCAGCAGGACTCTCCGTGTGGTGGAGATGGCCTCCTTGCACTGCCCGCTGCCGTGGCCGCACGTGGCTATGGGCTCACTGAAACCCACCCAGCGTACACGAGTGAGGAGTCGGGTCCTCGGCCGCACGGGTCGCATCGGAAGGGCTCGGTGGGCACATGTGCTAAGGCCCTCAACCAGGTGGCCCCCGCCCGGCCATCCACCCGAGGCCACGCCTGTCACTCCATCCAGACTAAGTCCTGAGGCCTCGGGGAGCAGGGCAGAGGGCCCGGGGCCAGGGCACCCTCCTGCTGCATTCTGCGGGGGCTGCCACTCTCATGCCGCGTCACTCCTGCTCCCCCCCCGCCTCATCACTCCCACTCTCTCTGCCCCGTGTCACCCCCCCACCCCTGTCACTCCCAAGCTGTGCTGGACCTCATGGAACCAGAGCAGGGCAAGCCTGGGAGAGAGTTGGGATTGTCTGGAGTTTCCGGTCTGGACTCTTATACGAGACACCTCAGGCTGATGACACGCAGGGGTGAGGATGACCTTGGCCCAAAGGCCGCCCCGTGCCGTCCAGCCCTGGTCTGGGGCCACCCTCGTCCCTACGACCTGCCTGGTGGGAGGGAGCCCACCACAGGACATCGCACCTTGGTACCTTGGGTTCCAGCTCCAGGAGAGGGGCTTCCCAGCTTCCTAGAGAGAAGGAGCCCGTCCCTGCGGTCCGCCCCTCCCATCTCTGCAGCCCCTTCCCACGGCCAGCGGGGCAGCCCTGTGCCACCCGGTGCTGGGGCTGAGCGTGCAGGACACCTCGGTGCCTGGGGACCTAGGCAGGCTGAGGGCAGAGGGAGAGTGTGCAGAGGGGAGGGAGGGCAGGAGGAGGGCAGGGAGATGGAGGACGGCAACGGGGACAAGGTCCAGGGACCTGGGGACCTCCTCACCTGTCACCACCAGCTCCAGGGACTCGCTGCGCTCAGACCAGCCTTGAGACCGGACGTGATAGAGACAGTGATAACGCCTGGCCGTGTGTCCGCTCACTGCCTCGATGGGGAACCTGGCCTCCGTCCCAGATTGGCCGGGTAGAGATACATTAGTCTCATCCCTGAAATGGGTGTGTCCGCTCTCTGTCTCCAGCCGGAATGACTCAGCCCCAGCAGGACCCCGGCACACGATGGTCACAGGCTGCCCCTGGGGGATCACAGAGCCTGGCTCAGCTGAGATGGACGGTCTGGGCAGGGACCCTAGGAGGGAAGCAGAGCGGGGACCAGTGTCCACTGTGAGGAAGTTACCATGGCACACAATTTGTTTTAGTGCGCAAGTCAATGTTTTAGGAAATTTACAATTTTTTTGAGCAATTTTTTGCTACAAGGCATGTGTCCTTGCCAGATAGATAGAGACAGAAAGTGAGAAATCGCCCAAGGGGGATGGCCATGCCACAATCAATCCCTTCTCCACTCCCTCCTCGGGATCTTGGGCATGCTCGTGCATAAACCTGGCGTTGTTTCAAGCTGCCGGGCCTGGGACTCCAACTGGAGTGGACCACGTGGGGGTCCAGCTCCTGAACTACTGTGCTGCCTGCTGGCCCCAGGAGCCTTACAGTATTGCAGCCATGGCCACATCCAGCTTTAGAACACTCCACCACCCTGGGCTCGGGCTCATTCTGTGTGCGTGTGAACTCTCATCCCGCGGGGATGGCGCCCACTCGGCCCCCATCCCATGGGGACGGCTCCCACTTGGCCCTCATCCCGCGGGGACGGCTCCCACTCGGCCCTCATCCCGCGGGTACAGCTCCTACTTGGAAACTAGTCCTTGACCAGCCATAACGTGGGCTTCGCTCAGGGTCACCCAGAACTGTCAGAGTGGCTGGGGTCAGCTGTCTGCTGCCAGGCTGGTATCCCCCCTTCCCCTTTACAGAGGTTCAGGGAGGGTGAGCGGGCAGGGGACAGGGAGCTGGCGTCTGGCATCCTTACTACTGAACGACTCAGCTGTGGGCTGAAGGGCAGCTGGCCGTCCCCTGTGGGGTGGGCAGGACCGGGCAGTCTGCAAAGCTCGGAGAGTCGGTGGGAGGGGTGGGTGAGGCACCGTCACAGATCTGCCACAGCAGACACCAGACAGGACAGTCCCCCGTGCTCAACACCAGCCCTCTGTTTCCACCCAGCTCTGAGTTCTCCTCTATGTTTCCTACCTTTAGCTCACTCTTATTTCTATCTCCTTGTTATTAAAGCTCTTTAAACCCCCACCTGGGGCCGGCAGGTGGTGTGGTGGCTGGGGTACTGGACTCCCACATGTCAACCATGGTTCGAGTCTTGGACCTGGTGGCTTGCTTTCTTACTTTCTCTGTTTCTGAGTGCACATGTCCTATAGCAAACTAAAAATAAAGATAACATTATTATTAATAATAAATACAGTTAAAAAATAAAATAAAATAAAATAAGCAACTTCATCTGTCTCAATCTGGCTGACGATGGGAAGAAAAGAGAGAGTTTGAAGTCATGGAACAGTAAGGTTATGTCAAGGTTAGCAGAATGGCACACTGACACAGAGTTAGGAGCAGAGGAGGGTGCCAGTCGGTGACATGGTGGTGAAGGGTGCTGGATTCGCACTTACCAACTGTGGTTCAAATCCCAGGCCTGGCGGCTTGCTCTCTCACTTTCTCTACCTCTCTCTCTGTCCCTCTCTCTCTCTGTGGTCAAATTAAAATAAATATGTAAATAAATAAAGCTAAATAAAATAATTAAAAAAAAAAAGTTTTACAAAAAGAAAAGAAGGGGCAGACAGGAGGGGCTGGCACGTGGCATGGTGGTTAAGGGTGCTGGACTCCCACACGGTCAACCGCGGTTTGAGCCCTGGACCTGTGGTCTGCTTCCTCACCTTTTCTCTCACGCGTGCGTATTCTCTCTCACTCTCACTCTCGCTCTCTCTCACTCTGCCCCTCTCTGGTCAAATTAAAATAAATACAGTTAAATAAAATAATTATTTAAAAGAATCCTTTCCATCTTTAAAAAAAAGAAGGAGCAGAGGGGAAGCAGGGCTGCCCTGCCTCAGTTCATCACCAAATCCCCCTGCCCAGGGTAGGGGTGAGGGAGCTGCCTCAGCCTTCAAGACCACCACCCAGGCTCCTGCAGTTGAAGAGGTGGAGGGTGGGGGCCACCTTTATTGTGCTAATTCCGCCCTACCCTCGCCTGCCCAGGAGCAGTTGGAAGCAGGGCTGCCCGGCCTCAGCTGCACCAAAGCCCTGCTGACCGGTGCAGGGTATGGCAGGAGGGGCTACCTCGGCCTGGGCCTGCAGTCCTCATTCCCAGCTCAGCCTCCCAGCCACGCAGGGACCAGAGAGGTTGGGGTATACAGGAGCCAAACATCGGTGAGCGCTGGAGGATTCTCTCCCACACTCATCCCAGCAGACACGGGAGAAAAACTCCTCTCTGTACATATAATCCCAGACTCCCACCGCGGACACCACGCTGCCACCCGCAGGAGAAGGGGACCTGGCCAGGCCTCACTCGCGTCACAGGCGCTGGAGCACGCGGCTGCCGGACCCACTCCAGAGAAGCAGCAGGAAGTGACTCCACCGCCAGACGCCGGAGAGTCAGCAGAGCCTCAAGGAGTGTGAGGAGACCAGAAAACGCTTCTCTCCCAGAGGGATAGCAACTCCTCACCAGCCATGATAGGACACAGAGCAGTCGTCAGATGCCACAAAAGGACTCATAATGTTTATTGTAACTAAATTCAATGAGATGCAACAGAAAACAGACAACCAGTTCCAAGAGATGAGAAGATCTTTTCATGGCTTGGAGGAGGAAATTCATCACCCGATAAAAACCTCCCTTGCAATTATTAACAGAAGCTTGGACCACGCAGAAGAATCTCTGACCTTGAAGACAAACTTCTGACTTCATCCAAGCAACAAAGAAGAACAGAAAAATGACCATTAAAAATGAGGTCAACACACATGAAAACCTAGACACCATTAAATGGCCCAATATTCTCACACTGGGTATTCCAGATGGGGAGAGGCTAAGAAAAGTCCCTTCTGTCATGTTTTATCTGAAGGCTTTCCAAATTTAGAGAGCCATACAGAAATCCAAATCCAGCACATGCGAAGAACACCAGATAGATTTAACATACGGAGATCCTCTCCAAGGCACATCACAGCCAAACTGGGGAAAAAATCAAAGACAAAGGGAATATTCTAAAAAGGCAAGGAGAAATGCCGAGTTACTAAGGTCGGACCTCTCAACTGAGACAAGGCACACAAGGGAAGAATGGGAAGACATCTTTAAAAACAGCGAAAAACAACTCCAGCCAGTAACACTCTACCTAGCACGATTATCCCTCAAACGTGAAGGAGGAATAAAATCATTCCCAGGTAAACGAAAGCTGAAAGAATTCACGAAAAGTAAGACAGCTTCTCAGGGAAGACATCAGGGACTACATCTGGGGGAGGAGAACTTAGGGGAGATGGACAGAAGTAAGAGAGCACAAAACAATGACCAAAATGAATGAATAACGATAAAGAGTAACCGAATGACAGGGCTCAGCCTCATCTATCAGTGATAACCTCGAGTGCTGGCAGATTAAATTCCCCAACCAAACAGAGAGTGGCTCGGTGGAAAACAAACAAACGAAACAGAAGCGCTCTGTGTGTTGCTTACGAGACACTCAGCTCACTGACAGAGACAGAGACCGAAAGTGAAGGGCTGCAAGAAGTCCTGCCATTCAGACAGAAATGGGGGACAGGCAGATAGAAAAGGTAAAGAGACAAAGAACAGCACATCGCTCTAAAGGGATTAGTTCACCAAGATAAAAGGACCAGAAATATTTACGTGCCCAGTTCCAGGGCACCCAAACATATAAAAACCCTGCTCTATCCAAAGGGAGACAGCACATTCGTCGCTGGGGACTTCAACAGCCCGCTGCCACCGCCGGACGGGTCCTCTCCACAACAAATAAACAGAGACACGGGACCGACTGGTCCGTGAACTGGAGGGACCTGACGGACACACAGTGCATTCCACCCCGCGGCTACAAACACACCTTCCCTCATCTCCCCGTGGGACATTTCCAAACTGACCACAGAACAGGCGATAAAACAAGCCTCCACAAGCTTAAAAGTACAGAAGCTACACCCAGCATCTCCTGCGACCGCAACACTATTAACCTTGAAATCGGTCACAGAAAGAGCTCTTGAAAATACATAAAAACAGGGCAACTGAACAACCTACCCCTGAGCGACTTTCAAACTGCGGAAGAAATTAAGGCTGAAGTCGAAAGATCGATTGAAAACCACTCCCAGTCTTTGGGACACAGCAAAAGCAGACTGAAGAGAGGCCTTCACAGCCGTTAGCGCTCACAGCAAAACCAGAAAGTGGCAAATAAGTAACATCACGTCTTGAGGAACTGGAGAAGCAACAACATATAAACTCCAACAATAACAGAAGAGAAGAAGTAATAAATATTAGGACTGAAATAAATGAAACAGAGAATAAAAGAACTACACACAAAAATCAATGGAACAAAAAAGCTGTTTTTTGAGATTATAAACAAAATTGACAAACTATTAGTAGCTAGACTAATCGAAAGAAACAGAGAAAGGACCCAGAGAGATAAAACTCAGTTACAAAGGGGCCAGCAGGTGGTGTGGTGGTTAAGGTGCTGGACTGCCACGTGGCCGACCTGGTTCAAGTCCCAGACCCAGCGGCTCCAAACAAGCCAGGCGCATGTGCGTGCATGCCTGGAATCCCAGGAGGTAGGGGAGAAGGGATCGTAGCATGGCCATCTCCTCGGAGGTGATTTCTTACTTTCTATCTCTCTGGTGAGTGCACACACCCTATAGCAAAACACCTCTCAAAAATAAATAAAAAATCAGCTACAAAGCTGGTAATATAAAAGTAATATATACTGGAAATACAAAAATTATGAGAGAATACTCCAAGCAACTATATGGCAACAAACCACAGAGCCCGGATGAGATGGGCAAACGTCTAGACACACGCAAGCTATGCAGGTTGAACTGGGATGAAGCAGAAAGCCTGAGTAGACCAATAACAAGAGGGGGCACTGAGTCAGCAGTAAATAGTCTCCCAACAAAGAAAGCCCAGGCCCACATGGCTCCACTTCTGAATTCTACAAAACTTTTTTTTGAAAGAATGATATTTTATTTAACTTTATTTATTTGCTTATTTATTTTAATTTGACTAGAGAGGGACAGAGTCAGAGTGAGAGAGAGACAAAGTGAAAAAGC